GAATTTTAAAATTAAACTTTTTTAGTTTACATTAAAATTTGCGATAAGAATGCTTTAATAAGAATACAGAAAATTAATTTTTATTTTAAAAATTATGATTCGAGCTGCATTTTATACATACTTTTCTACTGCATTGTAGACACACTGGTTCTTTGTATGCTATACATTTGTAAGCTGTTTTTTTTTTTTTTTTTTTTTTTTTTTTTTTTTTTTTTTGCTCGGCACGTCCTTCTTTTATCTACTTTATCATATTCGATTGCAATGTTTCCTTCATCATCATTTATTCCGAAAACTCTTCTTATTGTAAGTTTGAGTTCTTTAGCTAAAAATGATGAGGTTATCCTCCGTTTTACATGAGACTGCACCAACTGATTTGCTAATGAAATCATGAAATCTTTTCGTTTCATTTTCGGAGGTACTGGTTAAGATTGAAATAATATGAATGCATTTATTGTACAGATATACAAGATTCTGAAGAGTATTGCCATAGGCCAATGTCGGGTTTGATGAGCAGTTGAATAGATTGAACATTTCTTGTCAAATTCATCCACACCACACATAGCTATGATTTCAGGTTTCCCTGAAGATGCATCATTTTCACAAGAATGGTGCATCGATGATATTAAAATAGCAGCTTTTCTTTCTTTTGGGACATATGAAATAAGCATCATGTTTTTCGTAAAACCATACAGAGAACTACCCATTTTTCCTGACTTATTGGCTTGAAATTCCTTAGGGATTTCCTTTCTATCTCTTTTCAGAGTTCCCACAAATGCAAGTCCTTTTTCTTTCAAGATTTTTACAAGTTCAATGGATGAAAACCAATTGTCCTCTGTAATGTTTCTATTAGTTTTTTCGATTGGTTCCACGAGGCGAAGAACTGCCTATGTCGGTTTCTTAGTTTTCCATCTTCAGACAGCCCTTCTCCATATGAATCTTTTCCACAGTAGATACAGTCAAAAGTCTTTAATCCAGACTCGTCACAAAGGGCAACTTTTCACCCATGTTCTTCACCAGTCTTCTTTGAGCTCTGTTAGTGGTACGCCCAGTCTTGTTCAGCATCCTCATTCTGCATTGGGGCTTAGCGATGCTTGTTTTTTCCCCCACCACCACCACCACTGCAGCACTATGAGTGGGCCCACCAAAAGGTAGAAGATACACAATTACAATTCAAGCTGGGAAGAAATGTATTGCTTTGTTGATGTGAAAGGGAAGTGTGTGTGTTTGCTATATGATGCTTCTGTAGCATTCGTCAAGAAACCTAATGCGTGAAATGTCACTTTCAGACGAATCATGGAACATTTGCAACAAACTAAATATTTGGCACTGGAATATTTGCAACTAGGGTTCGGAAAATTAGGAAGAAGAAAGTATGTGAGCTGAAAACTGAAGCTTTCAGTGCAGCAATCAGTATTTGTTAGACCAGTTTCAAAGTCCAAAAATTTGCAGCAACAACAGCTTCATTTAAAATTGCTCCCTTACTGGCAAAGAAGAGAAAAAACCATTTCAAGATGGTAAGTTGCTAAAAGAAGCATTTCTTGCAGGTGTCAAAAGCCTCTCTGATAGAATTCTCTAACAAGTGTGAAATCATGAGTGTGATTCAAGACCTTCAATTATCAGAAAGCACTGTTTTAAGGAGAAGTAGAAGCAATTCCTGATGGCATGCAATCTCAACTGAATGTGGACTTGGAAACATGTGAAAGCTTTTCTCTCCAATTTAATGAGTCCACGGATATTTCCGATACGTCGTGGTTAGCTGTTATGATAAGAATGGTATTTAATGACTTTTCTGTTAAAGAAGAATTATTAAAAATTCTGCCATTGAGAACGCGAGGAGAGGACATTTACAATGTTTTTAAGATGTTTGCAGCAGAAATTGGTTTGCCGCTTAAAAACCTATTGGTAATTATTATAGACAAAGCAACTGCCATGACAGGAAGAACCAACGGCTTTGTCACTTTGTGCAAGAAAGACGAGTGTTTTCCAAACTTCATGTCTTATCACTGCATCATTCATCAAGAAGGATTGTGCACAAAGATACTTCCATTTTAACATGTGATGAATGTTGTCTTGTCGATGATCAGTTCTATTCGTGCGGTCATTTGCACCACCGTCTTTTACAAAGCACTGCTGGAAGACTCTGAAGATAAAACAGTTGACCTCATCTTGCAAGCAGAAGTCCCGATGGCTCAGCAGAGGTAAAGTTCTGTCAAAGTTTTTATCTCTAATCGAACCGATAAAAGAGTTCATGCAATCTAACCCTGATAAATTCAGTAAACACATTGAAAAACTACGTGACTCTTCGCGGCTACTTGATCTTGCTTTTCTCGCCAATATCACTGGGAAACTCAACATTTTAAATTCCAGATCTTCAGGGTAAAGACAAGGCTCAAACTATGGAAAGCTTTTAAAGCCAAAGTGACATTATGGATATTTCAAATGAGATCAATATTCCTGGTTCATTTTCCAAACATTAAAAAAAAAAAAAAAAATGGCGAATGGCAAGAATTTTGGGTTCTTGCAATTTTCCAACCATCTCAAGACACTTCTGGACCAATTTGAAAAGCAATTTCAAGATTTCAGTTGCCTGGAGCCAGTGGTGAGCTTTTTTGTCAACCAATTCACCATTCATCACAAAGCAACTGAAACCGCAACAGCAATTACAAAAAATATTGCTGCAGAAGTGGGAAAACCTTGAGCTGAAAATAGTCGAACTGAAGAATGATATTATCCTGCAAGCACATGCCACAGATGTAGACTTGTGGAAAAGAACAGGTTTCCATTGTTAAGAAGTGTTGCATATAAAATCAAATCTTGTTTTGGGTGTACCTACCTCTGCAATATCAAGTCGAAGAACCAGAGCAGACTCATTGATTCGCATCTTGACAAAATTGCTTGCATGCGGGAACCTCAGCATATGCATCTAACGTACATTTGTTGGTGGACGAAATTCGGTGTCAAAAATCATATTAAGTGCAACACCATAAACAGAAGAGACACTACTATATGTAAATAATAAAAACTTTCTGCATGAAATGCATATTTTGTTTCTATCTTGATATATTTTTTCGATCTTCTTTACGAGGGCATGTTATTTTTTTCTTACAGGCTAGCATTAACTAGTAATCTAACAATATCGCCAAGGAATGGCCTGAATATCACCTGGGATGGAAATGTTATGTGGCACCTGCTTTGCTTTCTGAAACTATGTTGTGTGCCTCAGCACCAAAAAAGGTTGAGTACCACTGTCGTAAAGCATATAAAGGCTATCTGTCTAAGGAAAGAGATATTTGTGTGAAGAACTTTCTAAGGAAAACTGGCTGATATTCACATTACAGTGGGTAAAACTATAGAAAATCCTATCTAGCCAATCTGTTCACTGAAATTTAAACTATAATTAGCAGTGTTAGCAATCTTGCAGTTCAGCTGCTGGTGGATATTAAATGAAAAACAAATTGCCTTTTGGTGCCTTATACTCCTGCATAATTATTCAATGAAATCCAGTAATGATACAAGTTTGAAACAAGCTTTTTTAAAATGTAATCTGTATTTTCATAAAATAGTTAAAAAAAATCTTTCTTTACAAGTGGATGTACCTGCTCAAATTACTTTCCATAGCCTCAGAGAGAAATAAACATATTATTAAAAAGAAGTATCTAAAGCTGGCAGAAAAATGGGATTATTTTCTGAGACCATTATGCATTATCAGCGAGTTTAATCCAACTTATGATAGATATTAACTATGGAATTGGCCTTTATTAAATATAAGCAATATTTTCAATGAATAGTTAAAACACATTTTACTACAAGTACCTGCTCAAACTATTTTCTGTAGCCTAGGTAAAAATAAACAAGCATATTATTAAGAAGTCTCTGAAAATGGCAGTTGCCAGCAGAAAAATTGCATTATTTCCCCAAGACTATCCTGCTTAAATAATGTGCGAACTTACTTCTAGTAATTGTATTAATTATGAATTGTTTATTAAATACAGAACATATCTGTAACAGTTAAAGCAAGCTTTGCTGCAAGCCAGCTTCTTGTGCGGGAAGTATTTCTGATAAAAATAAATATGTGTATATTTCTTGATCGTTTATTTAATTGGGCATGGCAAAGAATATAAGAATAAGGATGTCTCCATGGAGGACTTTCTAAGGGAAACTCATTTGTATTTATGGGAAGGAAAACCATGAGGATATCCAAGCATCTAGATTGTTCACCGGAATTTGAACCCTGTCAGTATTTAAAAAAGTCGTAACTACTTCGTGAGTGCTAATCAAAAATTTATATTTTAGTTCTAAATGTCAATACGCTATAACTGCAATTATAGCAATATTAATTATAATTTTAATTATAAAATAACTACAATGAATCACCAACTGTGTTCAATCAATAAAAGATAGCTTAAATTTCTATTTGTAATTACATTGTAATTCAATTACTTACATTTGTAAGTACTTTGTAATTGCAATTATGCACTACTTCCACTTTAGCTGATTTCGTATTTCATAAGAACACATCATTAAAATAAATGCATTTCATTTCCCTTTTCAAAAAAAATTTTAGAAACATTCTGATTCTAAAAACCATTCATACTTGTTCAATAAACTTAGAATCTGCTCATTTAATTCAATAATTTGCTTAATGCTCAACTTTTTAAAATTTAACTCGATTGTCCCTCAAGGGTGGACCAACAACAAATGTGATATAATTTTAAAATTTATTATCTATGTAAAATATGCATCCCATATCCTGAGCATTACAGTTTCTGAGCCTGTCAGTGATTGAAGGGATAAAACTTCAAAAAATGGCAGTTTTCCCAAGTTTGGTACTCAGTGGTTCACACAAAGGCTACCTGAGATTTTCAGTTTTTCTTATTGTAACATGGCTATGTGACTTTCCACGAAGGCGTTCTTTTTTTTAGGTAACTGACTGCTTACCATCTAACTCATTCTAGAATTTACAGATATTTCAATTGACTTTTTCTAAAGAATCTGTGAAATGTGATGTCCTCTAAATAGAGAATTATTTTACTTTATTAACTAAAGTTACAAATAGTATTAACTAGAAATAAGAGAAAAATGCATGTGAATTGTTATTAGGCATGTATGCTTCACGGGTCATGAAAACTGAGATAAATTAATTTTAAGAGATTAACTTTGTCAAATGTTTTCCTCAGTTATTTACGCCAGGTATAAAATAGTTGTTCAATGCAAAATGCAATTTTCATACTAAAATTGCATATCTCACAATAGATCCAGGTCCTCGAATTAGTTTGATTTTGGAGCAATGACGTAAAACTATTAACATACTACTTGTCATTTTATCTATTTTTACGTTTCCATATATTTTAAGATCTTCATCTGTACAAAAAGAAAAACCTGGAAATGAAATAATTTTATTAATAAGATGAAATAAAATAATATATCCAGTTCAAATTAGTATATGTAACTTAGATGCATGCAAGTTGTTAGAATTTATGAATGATATAATATAGATTTAGCTGAAGAAATCTTGCCTGTTATTTCAGTGAAAAAATACTTAAATTTATTTACGAAAACATTTTTCTATGTCATATAAAAAAAAGTTTATATATTGCTACTGTATTTTATTTTGAAAAATAAAAGTCAAAATAAATGTGTATCAAAATATAACTACCAAAGATATTTTACACTAGCAAATGATTTTGTGTAAATAATATTATGAAGATTATTTCTGTAAAAAAAATATATGTCATCAACTATAATTTTGTTTATAATAATTAGCTTCATAGTGAATCAAAATTTTCGACAAGATATTTCTGCTGAAAAAATTTAACGAAAGAATCGCAGTCTTTATGGGTGATCTATTTTTAGGCAAGGTCACCACTTATCAGAATATTTTATCAATCAGCTGTTTGTATTCATGTGGAGATAGATGGGAAAATAGGTGTTGCGCTGGTACAGCCTCAGCAGAAAAGAGTATTACCCTATTGTTTCAGATCTTTAGATGCTCTGATTGATATTCATTCAAAGCTTTAAAAATGCTTAGAACAGGGTACTTTACATTAGAAGCCTTTTAAAGACTTTTTGATGAAGAAACAGATGATGTTGTTTCACCAGAAATTGCAGAAGCTAGTGATGAAAAAGAAAGGGAATGCTAATGTTTTGCATAATGATAATGATATTTTACTAAATGAATACTACTGGGAATGTTGGAAGTTCCCGTAAGAAGTAAGCTTCAGCCTTCTAAAAACAGTGATAGTCATATGAAAAAGTGTCAGAAAACTGAAAACTTGAAATAGATAAAAAAAGGAACCTCAGTTATGATTTCGTCTTCTCTGTCATCTAAAAAATAAAGGTTTTAGTTCTACAGGAACAATTCAAGAAAACCGCATACAAATATAGCATACAAATTCAACCGCCATAGAAATGGCGAAATCTGTCTGTAAGAAAGAAAGGTTATTATGATTTTCATTATAAAGAGGAAAACAAAATAATTTTTGTTCGATGGAATGGTTTAACACTGAAAAAAATTCAGCCCGTTACTCAGGAACATAAAGGAAAAAGGATTTTGCATTTCAGCCTCGTCTTATTGAACAATACAATGCCAAAAATGGGAGGAGTCGATTTATGCGACAATTTAGTAGCCAATAACAGAATAAGAGTTCATGGCAAAAAAATCATAGTTCCCACTATTTGTTAATTACATTGATGTATCCTTTACAAATACGTGGAAAATATCACAACTTCCTACTACTGAAAATTTTTTTAAAAAATTCTTTTAGATTTCAGACACAAGATTGCATTATTCTTTTTGCAAACTTCTATTGAGAGTGTAGAAATAGATCAGCAACAGGGAGACCTAATAAATTCAGCATTCAAAAGCCACTGCATGGAAATATATGACATTTTATCATAAAGTCCAAGAATAACACAAGACTTCTTTGTAAAGAATGCCATAGCTAGACTGTTTATAGATTCAAAATATGTAATGTAGATTTACATCATGATTGTGGCAAAGCTTTTCATGTTTAAATCTTTCAAATGAAAATAATATGTATTTGTAAAAGAAATACAATGTAAATTTTAAAATATTTAAATTTAAAGTTATTTGTAGATTTATAAAATGTTACACAACTAAAAGAAAATACAGTGCTTCACTGTATGATCTTTTAGCTTCAAAGAAAACTTCGCACGAGTACAATCATACTCACTAAACATCCACATTCTTACTTTGCTGGCGTTACAAGAACGCAACCTCATTTTTTCCCATGTAAGAGCACTTTTTTTTTTTTTAATTTTCAATGTAAATTTATGTTATAAATACTTAATTTAATACTTTTTATTATTTGTATAAGAAGAAAGTCATTCCTTGTAGTTTTGGTGGTTAATGGGTTAACATTTTCAACAGGGTTCATAGCCACATTTTAGTTAAAAAAATAAGCACCTATAAGCACTTTTCAAGCACATTTTAAGAAAAAAAATAAGCACCTGTCTAATTACATCATACACAACTGCATATAACCTTAAAAATTAGAATTGTAATTTAAAATATCAGAAATAAAGTACTTATTAAGAGAGAATAAGCATTACCTCAACCATTGAAAATTACTTTTTTTTTTTTTTTTTTTTTTTTAATTTTAAATAATAGTTCAATTTACAAAACTAGTTTACAATGACAGAAAACAAAAAACTATGAAGAACTAAACTATAGTACAAGATTTAATGATGAAATTTCAGTTCAAAATAGAGAAAATAAATAATAATAAGGCATATTTATTGTATTCGTTTGGAACCTAATAATAAATACAATTTATTTTTCCACTCATATTGATATTTAAATAATTTAAATCTAAATTCTGAATATTTTCTAAATTTTCATTGTATATCAGTTTTTTCTTAACAGAAATTGCAAGCAAAGTAATTTAAGTAAAAAAGAGTGCTTCATGCAGCCATCTTTAACAGTAAAAGCTTAACTAACCCGCATACTTGGAATTGGCGAATATTCCGACAGTCGAGCGTAACTTGAAGGAGCGGAGGGGGGGTAGACTGTAGCCTCTGTTTAGATTTTTCCGCTAATAAATGCTTTTGACATTTCAATATGTGCATCATATAAAAATAAACCAACGGAACTAAAAAATATTCTGCTTAGCAAGCACAGTAAAACGCTTTCAGTTAGTAAGTAAGTGTTCATAAACAAATCTCGGACTGAACATCAAAATGCATTATCTCTGCAAAATATCGCAAACGTTATTGTGCAATATGTGCGCCGTAATTCTTCACTACATGATATTACGCAATTGGAATCAACAACTGCCGGTATTGGGAGAATAAAGAACTAAATAACTGGGGTGTTTTTCATTCTAATTTTCAACAGACGGCATTAAATTTCCGGAATAGAATTCATTCTTCCACTTGGGTTGTTAGACCGCAGAACTTTTAGTCCTATTCAATCCAGAATTGGAAAGTAACCAAAAAAAAAAAAGTCCGTTGCTTGTTTTGCAGCGAACTGTAACAGTTTCAACTATTTCAAGATTTTGCGGAGAAAAGGGAGAACCTCCCAACCTTCGTACTGTATAATGCATTGGAAAAACAAAGAGATGAAATTATTTTGACTATTTCGATTACTTTCCCCTTTATTTAAGCCATTCCGAATATTATTCCTTAGAAAGCTTAATCCTGTGTTAAAACACAACCATTTTTGGAAGTTTATCTATACTTCAGGAGTTACTGCAACTATGTTATTATAAACATTCATACATATGCTCATAATATAAGCATAACGATCATAATAAACACGAGTATGAACTGACCAAGCAGAACGAGAATGCAAATTTTTAAGATCTTGATAGAAATTCAAACGTGTGTAGTATTTGGGAGGAAAAGAATGCCAAATGTAGCGGAATTTTCTACTGCTTTCGCAATTCTTTGACCAATAGAATGACGGGCACCTGTCTGTACTCTTTGTGCACACCAAAGGTTATGTTAATGCAGAGAAAGGGGGAACAGCTATTTCCGGGAGTATGACTCACCATCTGACATTCCATATTAGGAAGAAAAGTTATTTATTTAGTTTCAGCTTTGGTACGGGGAAAAATAGCGCGTTCATTAAAAAAAAAAAAAAAAAATAAGGACTTTAAAGAAAAAGTAAGCACCTATAAGGGCCTTTATATTTTATTTTTAAATACAAGGACTTATAAGCACTTATAAGGGCCGCTACGAACCCTGTTCAAGAATTTTGTACTTTTTCTTTAACCTATTTTGCCTAAATAATGTATTTCTTAATATAAAAAATAAGTAAATGAATAATTTTATTAGAAAGTTCACTTCTTTCTTTTCATATTCACAGCAATTCTGACTTACATAAATTCATAATTACACAAAAGCCTTTGAACCTGAAACCTGCAAGTTAGAAATAAGGACACTAAATAATTCTTTTTTTTTCCCAACTTGTATTTTTTGGTATCCAAACTATATTCATGCAGTTAGTTTAGTTGCTTTTGGTTTATAGTACTTTAAAATGAATTCTAAATGCAAAATGAATATGCTGGCAATAAGTAACAACAGTCTGTAATTATTTTCAGAAGAAAGTTAAAAATAATTCATATGTACACTGCTCAAAAAAAAAAAAATGGGACAGTCCTATATCTCCCGATCTACTGGGCCGATTGACAAAATTCAAATTGCGTTCTTCATGTCTCGAAAGCGCGGTTTAGGATATATATTAGATTTATATATAGCACTATTCTAACATAGGTATTTTGACACAAAATCGGACTTTTTCTGAAATAACATACCAATTTTTTTACATATTTCGATTCTACGACTCAAATTACGCCTAAATATGAAATTTTGTAAAATTTGGAGCGAAATTTACGGAGAAATTCACATTTATGTTTTATGGAAAATTTATGTTGGCACTTTTTTGTCAGTTTGCGCCAAGAATACTTCACTTGGCGAACTTCTTAATATATGGCAACCTAGTTTACTTAGAAAAAAAGTCACCATCGTTCCTTTTTTTCCAAATAATATTCTTTATATTATATTTTTAATTATAACTTATTTATTTTAAGTTTTTTCTTTTCGAATTTCATTTTAATTGTTTTAAGTTGCATGCTTTTTTTTTTTTTTTTCCTCCCCCCCCCCCCCCGAATAACTGTTTTAAAAATTTCTATTTACCTATTCGAACTGCGTAAATAAAGGTGCAGCGTTTATTTTTTTTTCAAATAGTTTTTCTTTATATATATTTTCGTCATAAGCTATTATTTTAGGTCATTTTAAATTTTTATACTTTTATTTTAATTGTTTTGTTGCATTGTCTCTTCAGATAATTGGTTTTAAAATTTTCTATTTATTCCTTCGAACTGAGCATTTTAAATATATTTATTAATATCAATTTT